CTTCATTTTCTTGCTTTACTATTTGCTTGACTATTTTTATGAAAACTAAAATGGACACCGTATTTCCATCTCCCGTTCTACATCAATAACTTCTCCTAATGCAGTACCTTCGCACCGAGCAGTCATTTTTTCCAGCGATGAAGTTAACTTGACCAAAAGAAGAAGACTATGGCACACTAGTGAAATTTAAAAAATTTAAATTATGGCACGTTTTAACCCTTAAATTGCACCATACTTATAAGCTAGTTAACCAGAAAACAAACTAGAATTGTCAGTTCTCCTAAGATGAGAAAAAAAATTTCAAATTCGAGGATATAATTGCAAATACATTTTAGCAGGTTACTAGATTTGGATCCCAACAGACCCAAGACCAAAACAGTAACCTGTACTGGAGAGAAAGAAAGGTCAAACCACTTTCCTTATATGATATATATCTACCCTAAGAAACTTTAAGACATCGTAAAATTCCTATGTAGAATCCTGGCCTTCTTGTCATTCCCACACAATATGCTCAAATCTAAAAGTGTCACAGTTTCTCTGGACGTAAAATCAAGCTAGTCATCATCAATTAACCTTTGTTTAAAGTTTTAAACTTGTACGATTGCCAAAACACACAGGATACAAGTTTAGAGTACAGAAAAAGCAGCAAGAAAAGAAAGTGTGAAAAGACACTGAAGTGATCTGAAAATACTCAGAAAATAAGGGGCCCTGCTGGGGGCAGCACACATGTAACATACTCTCCTGCCTTAAAGAAAACTCAGTGTCACACCCTACCCATTGAGAACAATACCGACGGGCCCAGAATGTAGAATTTACTGTCACACACCAGGCTGCACAACACAGTGAGAGACAAGAGAGACACAGCCGTGCACTAGACCAAGAACTCTAATGAAGGAGGCAGCGTTTAAACTAGAGTTTGAAGTTAAAGTAGGATGATTTGAATAAGCCAAGCAAGTAGGGGGAAAAGGCACAAACCAAAAGCAACAACAGCCCGGGCCGGGGATTTAGCTCGGGGGTTCCGCCGCCTGCCTTGCAAGAGCAAGGACCGGAGTTCGATCCCCGGTACCAAAAAAAAAACAAAAGCAACGACAGCCTTAAAATGGAACGATGCACAGTGTCTTGGCCGGAGAGAAAACAAACTAAAGGATTTCCTTTAAAGAAATGCTTATATTTCCCCCCCATTGGATCATAGATTTTTATGCTGATGCGTATTTAACATTTATTGCTATTGCTTTCTGCATGCTATGGAATTAGCACACTGAGACACAGAAAGGCCGCGTGTCTTGCCCGAGGCCATGTAATTACTTTATGAGGAAGCGGCTGCTTTCGCTCTGCCACCCTCTCTGTAGGGGGACAGGGTGGACAGACTGGGGAGAAAAGGCTTATGGAGAGCACTTAATCCGTCCGCACAGGCTCGACTGCGATGCAGGGTGATGACGGTGCTGCTTGGAGAACGTTAATCACGCCGCCGAGCGCAGCCGCACAGAGTCCACTCGCGTAGACAGAGCCAAAACACCACTTCCGAAGCCGGTGAGGTCATCTCGGCAGGCGCAGCGGGAGCCAGACTAGGGTGCTGGCGGTGACACCAGACAGAGAAAAATATGTCAGACGTGACAGAAAGGGACCCATGTGGCCCCTTGGTAGACGCAGGAAATCAGGAAACAAGCACAAGGATCATTTAGAACAAAACTGGGTGGCCTGGTTCACCCCAAAATTATCAGACTCAATCCCACTCCACACTCCCCTGCTCTCCGCTTGAGCTGATTTTTTTCTTCCCCGTTGGCCATTTTCCAATTTCTACTCTATCCTTTCGTGCGCTCACGGTTTGTAGGCCCAGTGTGGGCTGGACAGTGGGTTAGGCTCTAAAACCTAGACCACGGCAACGGTGATGATTTTAAAAACTATTACACTCTTATTCAGCATGTGTGAGCCACTGTTACAAACGTTCCAAATTGATGAACCCGTTTGAATCCTGGTGTTGTTCTACAGGGTGGGCGAAAACAGTGGTTTTCAAGAGGGAAAGGAGATGCGGCCACATAGTTCAGTGGTGAAGCCCTCACTGTCATCTTACACCCGGCAGTGTCTTAGTTGTCCTAATTCCTCAGCCATCTGGAAGAGGACACCAGAGCCATCAGTTTCGTATACCGAGGTGTCCAGACGGCATTCTGGAGGTCACACGTCCTGTCTGCGCCTCCACCAAGGGAGACGAGATCACTCTGTGTTATTATCCCTCCTCTGTGGGTTTCTGTTTGCCTCTCCACGTGAACTCCACGCTCCTTGAGAAGCAGGAACGGCGTCACAGCCCACCCATACAAGCCCAGATCCTGTCCCACATACCCAATACGTCCTGTCGAAGGAATGAATAAATTAATGAAGACGGACGGTAGGTTCCAGCCAAACTGGCCCATGCAAAGTCCCCGCCTGCTTGGCTTGTTTGCGGTCCTCACTTCCAGAATAGCTCTTTCTCTGCTGCTGAAAAATCCTACTCATCCTTTTCAAGGCTGGGTATAAAGGCCTCCGGCACCATGATTTTCTGTGAGGGGGCCCCCATCCTCACCAACACCTTCCTGGTCACTCAGAGGGCCGGACCGGTGTTACAAACCCTACAACATCAGCGAACTGTATGGCCCGATCCAAAACCAGGCTCTCGAAAGTAGGCTGGCCTACTCTGGGAAAATTCCTTAAACCTCCTAAGGCTTTGTCTTGCTTTCCAGCTAAAAATAAAATAAAATTTAAAAAGGTAAATAATATCTATCCAGAGAATTTGGGGGAGGACTGAAAGAAAGTAAACCATCTGGACACACCCTCCCCGAAACCCTGGAGTCATTTACCATTTACAGAGCTTCTAGGTCAACACTGAACGCCATTCGTCTTCGGTGAGATTCTAAAGACTGCTAAGAAGATATCTGAGGACGAGAGCAGAGGCTCGCTCATCTATCTGTTACACACCTACCAGTGTGTCTTCCACAGACACACAATAAAGACTGAGAACAGTGGCACAGCAGCCATTGTAGACTGCGGCAATCAAGTGCAAATTGTACCCCCTTTGGGTCATCGTGATGGTCACAGGCCTCTCTCCACCACTTCTTAGCTCTCTGAATCTAGACTCAGATGCATACACTTCCCACTGGGAGCGAGGAGTTACAGGCTAACACCAAAGCCAAGCCAGTCGGACTCAAAATCGGTGATAATGGCCAATAAAATCAATCCAAAACAATCTTTTAAATGAGATTTTTCCTGCCAGTTAACTTCCACTAACATCAAGCCTTCGGTATCCTCTCTGAACCTTCTCTTTCCTGGCTGATTTGTCATTGCTTTCTTCTGCTGTGCGCTATCTCCAACAAGAATCAGTTCCCATGGTTGGTTTTTTTTTTCCCCTCCCTCCTTTCTCTACTGCCCCACTTACAAGAGCTGACAAGTTTCAGGAGCCGCAATTGTTGGGCAGTAACTGCCACTCTGAGGATCGTCCCAACTACATTCTTACTCCCTACAGAAAGCTCTTGGTTACTTTCAGGAGTTGGAATCCGCAGTTGTGAACTGAACTCAAAAAAGTCATGACTACTGGATAAGTATGACTCTGATCCCTACCCTTTCGATAGTTTTTGGCTTCTAAGTTACTTTTGTTTCATTTTTGCCGTGGGGAGTTTATAAAGAAATGAGAGACATTCGGTTCTGCAAGACCAAATCCACCACAGCAGGGAATATATATATATATTATAGATAATAATCACCATCTCAGCAGCTTGATCCAGATTTTTAAATCACAATAGCACATATAACATGACAAAATATATAATGTATGTAATATATTTTTGAACAATAGCCATGTCATGGCCTATGGGAGTTATAAAATTTTTAACGTCCTTTTTAAAGTCCCAACTGAATAGTTCACTGAACAAACTGCTATCCCAATTTCAGTGACCAGCGTATCCGAGGAAATGTGTTTTGTGTATTTGGTGAGTAGCAGAGCCTCACTTGGGGCCATGTGTGCTAGCCCAGTCCATGATTTTTGAAGCAAGTACCACTCTCCCATCTGGATTTTTCTTTTTGCAAACCTTTACTTGTAGTCATAAAATACCTGAATTCTCACCTTTTCTCAGCCAGAACCAGGACTAGAAGTTAGTTCTTTGCTTCCTGAAGTGAAGCTGAGAATCACTGCGTCATGGCCTTCACATGAGCCTTGTCTGTGAGAAGCTCAGGAGCGCGAAGCAACCCAAAATGACTTCACCGATTCAGATTTTCTAACGTTAAAAATAGTGGCACAGTAAATCTGAAGATTCTTCAGCCATTACTCACTTGTTTTCCTAGGCAAAATAATAATGTGCTCCCTTCTCCAACTAAATTAAACAATTCCTTACACACACACACACACACTCGCACACACACACAACTCCCCAGATTGTGCCTTTATGGCTTTCCCTTTTTGCTGTGTGTCTACATTTGAATCCTAATAAAATTGTTCAGCATGTGTTTTATTTTCTTTTGGGTTACAGTTTTGTACAAGATTCTTCCTTTAGTATAATTCTGGTAGATTTGATGCCATCCACTGCTCCAATGAGTTCAAACTACTTAAAAACACCAAATACAAACTCTTATTTCAGTCATGCTTGCACAGATAAAACACTCTTTTCCCCCAAAGCTTGCAAACATTCTGCATCGCCTGAATTTGTGCTGAATTTGAGAAAAAGGGATTTTAAGAGTTGCTCAATGTTCTTCAAAAGGTGCAGAGCATCGTGAAACACAGGCTCATCCGAACTCCACCCATTTCCAATTTCAACACTGCAAACCTCCTGCTTGTTCTTCGGGCAAATTCAAAAGCACAGATTGATATTGGTTATTAGCGAAGATAATTTATGCAATCATGAGCCAAAGATGCTAAGTTGGCAAAACAAAACCACGCAGGTAAGCAAACCCTGCCTCCCGCGCGACACGCCCTCTGGGTATATAAAGGCGTGCCCCTGTCCGGGTGGCAGGCGCTCCCTGAGGTCCACAGCATCACCATGTCTGTTCGGTACAGCTCCACGAGCAAGAAGTTCACTTCCTCCCGCAGCGGGTGCGGAGGAGGCGGCGGAGGGTCAAGCCACAGAATCTCCTGCAGCAAAGGCTCCCTTGGGGGAGGGTATAGCTCAGGGGCCTTCAGCAACAGCTCTTTCAGCCGTGGGAGCGCTGGTGGAGGTTGCTTTGGGGGCTCCTCAGGTGGCTATGGAGGAGGAATAGGAGGAGGTTTAGGTGGAGGCAGCTACTGCACGGGCTATGTAGGTGGCAACTTTGGCGGAGTCTATGGAGGAGGGAGCTACGGAGGAGGGAGCTTTGGAGGCGGCAGCTTTGGTGGAGGTGGCTATGGAGGAAATTTTGGTGGTGGACTTGGCGATGGTGGCCTTCTCTCTGGAAATGAAAAAGTAACCATGCAGAATCTGAATGACCGCCTGGCTTCCTACCTGGACAAAGTCCGGGCTCTGGAAGAATCCAACTACGAGCTGGAAGGGAAAATCAAGGAGTGGTATGAAAAACACGGCGGCTCAGGCCGGCGAGAGCCTCGGGACTACAGCAAATTCTACCAAACCATTGATGACCTTAAAAACCAGGTAAGGGGCATTCGAAGACCCAACTTTACTTCTATCCATGTAACCGATAGCGGCGTCTTAAGTTAAACATGATGTGGCCGCCCCTGTGTTTGCTTGTGTTACTTCCTTGCTTCTGAATCTAACCCAGTCTCACCAAAGATAAATATTTCTGAAGGTGTGGTCAAGGCAATCCTCACTCGGCATGTTTGTTGTCTTACAGGACGGCATAGTACTGAAAATATTGCAAGCTTCAATGAGAATAGAATCACTTTATTGTTAAAATATGCTAGATCCTTTACAAATGCAGGAATACGAAGATTAAATGAGTAAGAGCAGAATATTATTGAGATTTGATAACAAGTCATATTCGGTACCAAAATGCAAGAAACATGAATCCTGCATTATGGAAATAGGGTACTGTTTGCCTGTAGGAAAATTGAATTGCACCTATTAGTTCATAACGTGTATACTTAGAAGTATCTATACAAATTTAACAATACAGGTAGGTGCAAGGCAGTCAAAATTTGCCTACCCTACACTAAAATCACAAAGCATACAGGAAGCAATAGGGATACAGCTCAACCGTAGAGAACTTGCCTACCATGCATGAGGCCTCAGGTTCAATTCCCAGCCCTGTAAAAAAAAAAAAAACAGGAGGGGGCACTTGCAGAAATACAACCACGTAATCCCAGTTAAGTTTTTGGAAAGGGGTGGCAAAGAGACAGAAGCATAGACGTTCCAAGCGAATGATTCAAATTTAAGTATATGGGTAAGCTTGTGGTATTTTATATTCCTCATAATGTCCCCAAAACATGGAAGAGGGCAACCAGAAATGAACTCATCTCTGTTATTGTAAAAGCCACATCAGCAGCTGACATCTTTGTGAATAACTCGTCTCTCTGTCCAGATCCTCAACCTGACAACTGACAATGCCAATATCCTGCTGCAGATCGACAATGCCAGGCTGGCAGCTGATGACTTCAGGCTGAAGTAAGCCAAGTGGCTGTCACAGCAAGGGCAGCAGTGACCCTAAACGATGACTTCGGACGTGCACACTAGTATTTACGTTTTCCTGGGGTTACCCACCCTGAATTAGCACCGGGGCTGAGACATTTCCAGTTTCAATATTACCTTTCTATCCTTAAAGGAAGAAAAGGCATTTTAAAGTGACCGCTAACCTTTGCATTAAACCACTAATATCGCTATGTGAATTAACACATGATCAACATTGCCCTGAGATGAAATCAACTCTTGTGTTTTCTGTTTAGACAGTGTCTATCCAGGCACACCTGGAGTTTACCTGAATCACGTCTGTTCCAGGTATGAGAATGAGGTGTCCCTGCGGCAGAGCGTGGAGGCCGACATCAACGGGCTGCGCAGGGTGCTGGACGAGCTGACCCTCACCAAGTCCGACCTGGAGATGCAGATCGAGAGCTTCACAGAGGAGCTGCAGTACCTGAAGAAGAACCACGAGGAGGTGACACAACGTTTTATCTCCCCCAGTGGAAAAGAAGTTCACTGTGGTCACGGTGCAGTCGTTCATACCTCTTCGTTCCTCAAACAGGAAATGAAAGACCTTCAAAACGTGTCCACCGGCGACGTGAACGTGGAAATGAACGCTGCCCCTGGTGTCGATCTGACCGAACTTCTGAATAACATGAGAAGCCAGTATGAAGAACTTGCTGAGCAAAACCGTAAAGACGCGGAAGCCTGGTTCATTGCAAAGGTAAGTAACTGCACTCTGCGGCAAGGTCCAGGAGGTTTCGCCACCGTGTCACAGTTTTCTCATCTCTTCCCCCGTTTTTAACACTGCAGAGCAAGGAATTAAATACCGAAATTGACAGCAACATTCAACAAATGTCCAGCCATAAAACTGAAATCACTGAATTGAGACGCACCGTTCAAGGCCTGGAGATCGAGTTACAGTCCCAACTGGCTCTGGTACGTCTTCGGAAAGGACTCCCCCTTTATCCGTACGAAGTTTCATGTTCACGCAGGGTTGGGGGTATGAAGGAAACAGACCATTCGCCTGGGTGTAAAGGTGCTGAAATTCAACGGTGCCATCAAATATAAAATAAATTCTACTCATTTGCTTTATCCTTCTACATGATGTCACTAAGCAACAATAATGTCCTCTTTTCAGAAACAATCCCTGGAGGCCTCCTTGGCAGAAACAGAAGGCCGCTACTGTGTGCAGCTCTCACAGATTCAGGCCCAGATCTCCGTACTGGAAGAACAGCTGCAACAGATCCGGGCCGAGACCGAGTGCCAGAACTCTGAATACCAACAACTCCTGGACATCAAGATCCGACTAGAGAATGAAATTCAGACCTACCGCAGCCTGCTAGAAGGAGAGGGAAGGTAAACAGCAAAGTTGAAAAATTAGCCCAGCTGCTTTCTTTCCATATCCTGGAGAGCAAGGCTTACCCAAACCTCAAGAAAAAGCCAGGAAGCAGAGGGAAATGTACGTGTGGGGGTCCTGGGGGTTGGACGGAGGAAGCGATGGCAGAATAGAGTATGCAAGCAGGCTTGGGTTCTGGAGCATTAGGCCCAAGAATGAATCTTTGGAATATGTATATAAAAACTTTTAAACGATAGGCTTTGGCACATAGTTGGCAGTTACATTCTCTCTAAACATGATTCATTTCCTAAGATAACAATAATCCAGGCAGCTTCCCACGAGCTCCCAACGCACGTGATAACCTCACGTGACCCTCCTCTCCTTTCTTCTAGTTCCGGCGGC